TTGTGAAGAGATATTTTTTTCCTGAGGAGTAATCTGTCAGTTTTCATTAGCCCTTGGACCAGCAAACCTCAGCAATGATGACCTCCAGTTCTCCTCCCCAAAAGATGCCATCCCCACTCCAGGTTTCACACAGCATGTTTTCCTATTTGCGATGTTTGATAGTGCAGATTGGCTGCACTTGATGTAAAATAAGGGACTTGAACCTCAGTGCATCTGTGACTCCACTGACTTCACTGATTTATATCAGCTCAGCGTCAGACATTTAATTTTATTGCACTGAAAACTAATGGCAAAAATTTTACAATGCCCATTATAATCCTCTGTTTAAGACCTAAAGTACAGCAATTAAATGTCATTAAAAATACCCACTAAAATTATTAATACCTTTTTTTCCATGCAGTGTGAAAATATCTCCTGCTGTTCCCTCATCTTTCACCTCATTATAAAGAATTGATTTATTAGTGTACAGCCTAAGTAAACTGAGAAATTCTGATGCTCAGATTTCTTGCATGTGACTTTGGAGTCTCATTTCTCTACTGTATTGCACAGTTATTTTGACAGTTATGCCAGATTTAATTAGCAATCAGTTTCCCAACAGTTTGACTACTGCAGTATTATTTTGTCTGTGTTTTCCTCTTTTATGCTTAGTTCAACATAGACTGAACTGCAACTTTGAACTTTGTTTTGGTACATGTAAGGCAGTGTGACAGCTTGACTTTTTTTTAATGAAAACTAATTAATTCACACCAGTCAGAAGATTAGTAGAAAAACAAAGTCCTTATGAATGATAATCACTCCAATAAAGTCTGCCTTGTTCCTCAATTCTTTTAATTTGTTGGGTTTTGTTTATAGAAATCCATAAACCCACTCATAAAATATTTCCAGATGATCGTATTATCATAAAGGAAAAAAGGGCTTCAGTGACCTTACTATAATGTGATTTCAAAGAAATACTCCGAGCAATGAAATTGCAAATGTGTATGGGATTAATTGCTAATCTCTTTAGTAATATCTTTAAAATGTAAGTCATAAGTGTATTCCATTCTCTTTCTGCATTCCTCTATTTCTAAAGCACTGTATTTTCAGAGAGAATGGTCGGCGCTAGCATGATAGATCTTTCTGAGTAGTCTTTATTAAATATTGCTTTCTTGAAGCGCTAAAGGTATCATTCTACCCCCATTTACAGGCCATTCAGCTCTGCTTTTTGTGTAATTGATGCAAATGAAGCATGTAATAGTGTTTTGTCAAATGCATGAAAAACAGCTTTAGGACTTCCTGGTTATCAGAGAAATGAGAATGAAGAGAATTTGAAAAGTTGAAGAAGGTTAAGGACACATAGGGTGATTTCATTTTTCCACTGATCAAAATGCCCTCCAATTCCTCTTCTGCCTCCAAGCCTGAATGAGTTCTGCATCTGGGAAAGAATAAACCCAGGTTACCAGTACTGGCTGGAGAACAACCTGCTGGAAAGCAGCTCTGCAGAGAGGGATCTGGAGGTTCTGTTGGACAGCAAACTGTCAGTGTCACAGCAGTGTGTCCTTGTAGCCAAGACAGCCAGTGGAATCCCAGGGTGCGTTAGGAGTGTTGACAGACATCAAGGGAGGCAATCCCACCTCTTTACTCAGCCCTGGTGAGGCCACACCTGGAGCACAGTGTTCAAGCCTGGGCTTCTCAGGACAAGGGAAATGGAGCCCCTGGAGTGGGTCCAGCAGAGAGCAACAAAGATAATTGAGGGACTGGAGCATGTCTATTAAGAGGAAAGACTGAGGGAGCTGGGCCTGTTCAGCCTCTAGAAGAGACAGCTGAGAGGTGGCCTCATCAGGGGCCTATAAATATCTGAAGGGAGGGTGCCAAGAGAATGGAGCCAGGCGCTTCTCAGCAGTGCTGAGCAACAGGACACGAGGCAATGGGCAGAACCTGATGCACAGAAAGCTCCACTTGAACATGAGGAAGAACTTTACTGTGTGGGTGACCAAATACCAGAACAGGCTGTGGAGTCTCCCTTACTGGAGATACTCCAGAACTATCTGGACACAATCCTGTGCTATGTGCTCTAGGATGGCCCTGCTTGAGCAGGGAGGTTGGACCTGATGATCCACTGTGGTCACTTCCAAGCTGACCCATGCTGTGCAATATGCTAAACTTAACTAGACCATGCAGGAAACAGACCAAGGAGATTAGCAGTGGTATGAAAGCTATGTAGATAAGTCATGCACATTTGCTGATGGTCATGGCCAAAACATAAAGCACTTCTGGATGTTAGGCACTTATTAAATTGTCACTATATTAACTAAAATAGTACCTCCAAACAGAGATATTTTATGTTCTATCCATTTTTTTTTGTCAGTGCATTTACAAAACAGACAGCTATTAACCAAAAAGGTTGAAACTCACAATTCATAACATTTCAGAAGTTCAATAGAGGTTGGGTCATAAACACTGAAAAAATCTCAGACTGCTGAGAAGACAGTGCAGAGCCAAAGAAATAGGGTCTGAGGTGATAAAAAAGTTAAAAGGTTTACTGCCTGGAATATCTGGCTTCCTCACAAGCAAAGCTAACAAAATCAAACTCTCAGGTCCTGGAAACAGAAAACAGCCCTCCTGAGAATTTTTTATTAAGAGCACATTCTCCTCCATTTCATTTCATGGTAGACTTGTTTTACAGTGACAGTAACTCATCTTTCTCAAAGATGATGCAATTTTTCAAAGCAAATGAAACTTACTTTTTGACCAACCCATTTCTCCGCTCCTCAGGAGGTCCTCCAGAAAACCAGCAGATTTTTCTATACAGCACAAGGGGATAAATCAGCTGATAAATAGGTGCATGATAAAAATGGTTTCCTTCACTCAGCATGGAAGCTGAGGTTGTAGAAACATGAAAGTTGTCTTATTGTATCAGTGGTCAGATTAACAGTCAGACCCAGAGCACTCAGGGCATTTTCCTTTTGCTGCATACCAAGAAAATCGGCAGAGTGATAGTTTTGGGGGCTGAACTCTGGGGTGCTGAGGAATGATCCAAGATGACACATACTGAAGGCTGTCAGATGTGGAATGGTATTACAAGCTGAATTAAATGGCACAGTGTATAATAAATATCAAAATGGACTATCTTGATAGATTCTTTCTGGAGCACTTACAGATCTCCAGGCCTTGCAGTATTGAGCCTTGTGGAGGGCGCTGGCCAATCCCTTCAGCTGCCACATGACTACGGCAGCATCAGCTTTCTTCCCTTCACCCAGAGTTGGTGAAGACCTGCTCAGCAGCCACACCTGAAAAGGCAAGAGAGGCAGCATTGCCAGGGCCAGAAAAATGCAGCCACACAGGTTAGGAAAAGTGAGGGGCTTGGACACTGCACACAGCATTCAAGGGCTGCCATTGTCTGCTGCTTGGTTCTGCCCCAGCTCTTTGCAGAACTGGGGGCTGGTGAAGGGACTGTCCCTTATGGTAACACACCACAAACTCATGTTCTCTCACATTGCCCATAAAACTTGGACTGCATTTCCTCTTCATATTTTCTCATTACCCCAATTCCAGATCCCCTTTTCTTCTTGGGATCCTGTATGTGATACTGCAATGAAGACAGTGTCCTCAAGAAGTGGGGTATGATGTTTTCTCTCATGATGACATTAGCACCAAGAGGACTCTTTGGATTATACCCATTTTGCTAGGAAGCAAAGTGAAGAGAGAATGGAAATAAACAGCAGCTCTTGAAAAGGGTTAAAGTCAGGATAAACAATGGTCAGATCACTTGTCTGAGTTGCAGGAGAAAATGTCTGTCTAGCAGGGGTCCAACTGAGAAATGCAGAGCACGCTGCTTTGAGGGTAACATTGTCAGTATGTTACAAGTAATCTGGAAAGGCTTCTCCTGAAAGCTGAAAACACAACATCCAGTCTGCAGTCTGTCATGGAGTTCTTGTACCTGCTGACACAACAGAGTATGACTCCTCACAGATGTCACATTTCTTCTACAGTGGAGGAAAAAAAAAGTAGTTCTACCCTGTCCCATGCCCTGAGGCTTTTAAATGACCATACCTTCTGAGAGCCTGCAATACTGTTGTCTTTTAATTTAGCAGTGATGTGTAGTCTATGATGACACAAATAATTTGATTTGCATAGTGCAATACCATGTCTTGCCATGGATGAAATTTGATCATACTGTATTTGATATCATGTTGTGTTGGTTCTTACTCACTGCCCCACAGATCATAAAACCATCCCTCTCCAGGAGTAAAGAGGATGAAAGGACATCTCATCTTCCACCAATAACTCTGCTTTTGACTCCTGGATCTGGTTTCGCAAGCACTCCCCATAAGAGTATGTTGCTCTGTAACGTCAAAAACTATATATATATAACCATCTATAAGTAAAACGCTCTAAAAGTACAACCTTAGGCATAACCCTAACCCTAGGTATAACCCTATCCCAAGGTGGAGCAGGGAAAAGAGCTTTGGGCTGAGTCAGGTGCCAAGCACAAAGCTATGGAGAGACCTATTTTGTGGCAGAATACCTTTTAGTGTGGCAGGTCTATTGTAGCTGCACAGTCCCTGGAGCTCTGGCCTTTGTGGTTTTCGGAACCCTAACCCTAGGCAGAGCACCAAAAGGAACCTTGGGCTGAGTCTGGTTCCAAGTAGAAAGGTATTGAAGGAGACATGTTATAAGAGATTTTTGTTCACCTTGGCATGCCATTTGTAGCTGCAGTGTGCTTGGAGCTCTGGGCTTTGTGGTTTTCTGAACCCTAACCCTAGGTGGAACCCTAACCCTAAGGTGGAGCAGTGAAAAAAGCCTTGGGCTGAGACGGGTGCCAGGCAAAAATTTAGAGAGAGAGCTATTTTGTGGCGGTTTTCAAACCACAAAGCCTGAGTTCCAAGGACTGTGCAGCATTTTGTTCATGTAAGAAGCTCTTTATTATAGTTTTAATTGATTATTAATACTTAAGTAGATGTATTTGGAGGGAAGAGATTCTGTATGAATAATTATATGCTACATTAAAAAAAAAGGTCTTTTGTTTCCACTGCACAATTTATTCAGTTTCAAATTAGAAAAAAATTACTATGTATTTGACAATTTGCATGCATTAACTCAAAACATTTCAGCTCAAAAATTATTGATTTCTTCCAGTCTTGTATTAAGGCGCTCAGGAATTTCACTTAGGCAGACAAATATATGGATTAAAAAAAAAAAAAATCAAAATAGACAGACAAGTTACAAGTCAGATTTACTTCCATTAACAAATATGACCACAGTGAGTCCTGGTAGTAGACAGTTGCATTCCTTATCTTTTCTGTGTGTATAGCTGATAGGAGTCAAAGTGATTGGGGAAGAGTTATCTTCAGCAGAAGTTTCTTCAACAGTTTCTTGATTTGGAGTGCTGAATAAGCCACTGTAATGTTATGTCTGCCAGGATAGATGAAACAAAATGAAAAACTCAACAGCCTGTTTGCACAGTGTAGAAGCACAACAGAACACTAGCAGGTTAATCCAAATTCAAAAACCTCAACCAAACAAAACCCTGAAACCACAGGTTCTCATTCACACATAATTGAAGTTCTGAAGTTCAACCTCCAGGTGGCCCTTTTCTAGTTTTTTGTGGGTTTTTTTAAATTGTGTTTTAAATTGAAATATGATGACTGACATCAAGTTCTCTAAGCCATAGATAAAGAACTGTTGAAAAAGCAAAGATTTAAGATGACCATAAAACAAATTGTAAAATGCAGAATGAAATGCTGTGTGAGAACAAAGGCAGATACACAAACAGAAGGCATGAGAAGGGCAAACATCTGACAATACATTAAGAAGCTATTTATGTAGGTTGTAGGAGTCCAAGGTCTCTGAAAGACGTGCAACATTCAACTAAAATTTGGTATCTGAAATTGGCAGCCCTCCTGATGCGATCCAATGTATTGAGCTGAAAACTGCAGCAGTTCACAAACTGATTCATGAGCAGATTAGATGTTTTTGCCTCAAGGCAGTAACATCTGTCAGGAAGGCAGGAAGAATGTCAGGGGGCAGCAGCAGCTCTAGCCCTCAAATTGAAATTTGTTGCAGTATTTGTCTTAAGTTCAAGACAGCACTCCATGAATATCCTTGAAGACCAGGTTAGGCACTGAGACTGCAGAAAAAACCAACCCACTGCACTTATAGCAAAGCTAATAACTACATAATTATCATCTCAGGACACAGTAACTGGCAGCCTTACACCTACACTTCCTGATGAGACCAGTTATCTGGGCTGCAGCTCACACTGAAAAACCAGTATTACACAATATTACACTGGAAGATACCTGACCAAGTCTCACTTCGGGTTGAGTTTTTTTCATCACTACTCCCAGAACTTCCACAAGTAAGTGATCTCATATTGTTCTGCATTAATGATCATCTTTTCATGCAAATTTTAGCATGCTTTTTGTTGCATGCTTTTCTCCTCCAGGGCATCCAGACAAATGGACTTGGATCAATACCTATTTTCTCCATGATTCTTTCATAAATTAGGCAGTTTTTCCTAGTTTTCAGTCACAATCCCACTTTTAAGAATCTCCATTGCAGCCTTACCAATTTGATGAGGATCAAGCACAACATTTCAAAAACCTCAATTACATTCACTGCCCTTCAAATACTGAAATTATCCTGTTGTCTTCTACAGCTCTTATCTCCTGAAGCCTAATCTTCCCCAGTGTTGTAGCACCTTCTGTGCACCTCCCTCGCTCAGAGATAACAGCTGTACCCCAAGATGCAGCAAACATGGGTCTAGTCTCCTTCAAACTAACATACCCAAATCATGTACACTTCCATGTAAGCTCTCACTGTGAACACATCTCTGCAAACAGCTGAAATCTCCCCCAGCTCACTGAAGTCCAGGTGCCATGGTACAGTCTCCTCACCATCTCCACTACCTGGTTCTCCCTGTGTAGGATGGAAATTTCCCCAGCTCTGAGAGAAAGTGGCTTTCTTCCCATTCCCACTCTCGTATTTTCTCACTCAGCTGATCCCAACAGAGCTGCTGAGACCTTCTATTAAGTCTGGCTTCCTCACGTAGCAGCTATAAATATCTAGCCAGCCTAGATCCCATCCCATCTTATCTCAGGAGCATGCAGAGAAGGGTGGCACACAGGTAGCATGCCCTCAGACATTTTCTGCAGCTGCTAGCTCAGCCTGTGCTTCATCCCTTCTTCCTGCCCTGTAGAGGGAAGGGAATGGAAAAACATGATAGACAAAAGGGATAGGAAAGTGGAAGATAGGAGACAGAGGAAAAGCATTTCCATTTGGAAAAAAGTACCCATCCCTCAGTTCAAGGAACAGCCACATGCAGATAAAACCTGCTTACCAAATAAAACCGTGTATGGAGTAAATCACCATATTTTTTTAGGATAACCTAATAACTGGAAGGCCTTCATATGCAGCTACTGTTTTTTCAATAGTAACACAGTTTCTTGTAAGGGATTCAATTACTTCAGACTTTAAATATGCTTTTCCAAGGTCCCTGACAAATTAGCTTCTCATAGAACTACGTATTTCTACAAGTTTTCTTTTTTAATTACATTTTCTTTTTTTTAATTACACAAATACACTCATGTGCAATATATGCCAAGTATCTTTCAATGTAAATTGAGATCTTCAATAATATAGTGGAGGTAGATGTTCAAACCCGATCCAAAGTACAAAGCATATACTGATGACACTAGAAGAAGCTTACCTATGTTATCCTTCTCTTTACAGGAAATAGAATAGCAACAGATTTCTCTGTCTTGAATAGCTGAAAGGTTTCTACAGAAACAGAAACAAAGATTTATAAACCCACAAACACTGAAAACAAGAATGTCCATTAAATTATAAGTTTTCTGCTTTTTACTCAGTGGGTTCAATTCTATTCTCAGATCTTAAATTCTTAAAATATCCCACTGCACACAGAAAGACACACATTTCTTGAACTGTAAGGTTTATAAAATTTGAATTACACGTTAGGTCAGTAAAATAGTGAGAAATAAAACCACAGAAATGCATAAGTTAAAATAACATTTTGTGTTTGTAACCAAGTATTACCCATGTCTTATCATTTACCTTTTACTCTTTTCCCTTAGAATTCTGAGGGTTTTTCTCCAGTAAATCATAATAAAATAACAGTACTCAAATGATCACACCACTTGTCTTCAGGATGTTTACTGTATCATACTTAAAATATCAGATCTGACTCCCACTTAAAGGATCCTCTACATTTAGGTAGAAACCAGTTCTTAATCAACTTCTTTCTGAGAACTCTATAACCCCTCTCAGAGCTTCAGAATACTTTATTGTTTTTTCATTTATTTATCCTCACACAAGTGACACAGACATGCACAAAACATTTTCCTGAAGCAGGTGGGAAGTGACTGAGAGTGGGAAGACACTGAGAAGTCTGAAGACCATACAAGAGATTCTAGTAAAGAAAAGAGAACTAAATAGGGACCTCCCTGGACTTTAGGAGAGCAGCCTTGGCCTCTTGGGGATCTGCTTGGAAAAGTGCCACATAGTTAGGCCCTGTAGCAAAGAAGGGCTTAAGAAAGCCAGTTAATATTCAAAGTTCATCTCCAAACTTAATAATAATCTATCCTAACAAGCCTAGAAAAAAAGCCAAAAGGCATTAAGTGGATGAACAATAAGCTCTTGGAAAAACCCAGTAATGAAAAAGAAGCATGCAGAAGGTCAGAGCAGAGACAGGTAACCTGGGAGGAATAAGGAAACATTGTCCAAGAATGCAGAGACATCAGGAGGTCAGCCAAAGCCCAGCTGAAGTTGGATCTCATGAGGGATGTCAAAGAAAACCAGAAAGTGACAAATGGAAGACGGGAGAAAATGTGCACTCACTGCTCAGGGGACCTGGTTACATAAGACATGAAAATGCTGCCTTTGCTAGCAAGATTAGCCTTCAGAAACCCCAGGCCCCAGAAATCATGAGTAAGTTAAAAGCAAAGAAGTTGTACCCTTGATGGAAGAGGATCAAATCAGGGAATAAATAAGCAAACTTGACATAGAGATGTCCATCCATAAGCCCTGGTGGCATGCACCTACAAGCAATAAAGGAACTGGCTGATGTCATTGTGAGGCCACTCTGAACAATCGTGTCAATTGGGAGAGGTGCCTGAGAGCAGCGGAAGGCAAATGTCACTCTACAGAAAGAGGAGGACCCCACCTGGATTCCTGGGAAGGTGATGATGCAACTATTCCCAGGCATGTGACAGACAAGAGATGACCAGGAGTAGTCAGCATTACTCACAAGGGAAATCATGCTTAACCAACTCAATAACCTTCTACAACAAAATCTACTGTTTGGTAGATGATGGGAGAGCAACTGACACTGTGCACCTTCGTTTGATAAGGCTTTGACAGTGCCTTCCATAATATCCCCACAAACAAGCTGAGGACGTATGGGTTGGATGCACAGATGGTGAGGTGGACTGAGGACTGGCTGATCACTGGGTGATCAGTGGCACAAAGGCAAGCTGGAACCCAAGGACTACCAATGTACACCAGAACCAATCCTGGGTCCAATCCTGTTCTATTTCTTCATTTGTTGCAAATTATGGGGCAAAGCACAAATTTGCTGATGACAGAAAAATGAAAGGAGTGGCTGATATACCAGAGGGTCCTGCTGCCACCCAGAGTGACCTCCACAAGCTGGAGAAAGGGCTGGCAGGGCTTTTTTTGCAGTTTAACAAGGGGAAGTGCAAAGTCCTACAGCTGGGGAGGAACAACCCCAGGCACATGTCAGATGCCAACTGCCTGGAAAAGCAGCTTTGCAGGAAAGGACATGGGGGTCCTGGCAGGTCATCAGGCTGAAAACAATCAAGCAGTGTGGTACAAATGCTAATGGTATTTTGGGGTGTACTGGGAGTGCTGGCCAGCAGGCTGAAGGAGGTGATCCTTCCCTTTTACTCAGCAGCAGTAAGGCTGTACCCGACCAGCTGTGAACCATCAGTACAAGAAGGATGTGAATCTATGGGATAAGGTCCAATAAAGGACAAGTAAAATTAAGGAACTAGAGCAACTCACATACTAAGAAAGGCTGAAGAGCTGTGACTGTTTAGCTAGAGAAGAAAATGCTTAGGGAACTTCTTATTAATGTGTACAAAAATTTGAAGGTAGCCTGTAAGGAAGATGGAGCCCAGTGATGAGACAAGAGGCAATGGCTATGAACTGAAACACAGGAAGCTCTCTCTGAAGACACAGAAGCAATTTTTAGCTCTGAGAGCGATCAAACACTAGCAAAGGTTGCCCAGAGAGGCTGCAAAGTCTCCAGCTTTGGAGATGCTCAAAAGCTGTCTAGACATGGTCCAGAGCAATCAGCTCCAAGGGGCGAAAGTCTCTGCTTGAGCAGGTAGATGACCTCAGTTCCTTCCAACCTCAGCCATTCTGTGAGTCCCAGTTTAGTAGCTCAGACTTTAGACCATCCTTACTATAGCTAGACTTCACTTCACTTTCTACTAATTAAAATTATGTGATTTGTGAATCCTATTTTACAAAATTAGTGCCATACTGGTCACTTTTACAAAATTGTGTATTTTCTTTACAATGACATTTGCTATGCATCACTTTGTTACTTTCAGTAATTCCTAAGTTGTGCTTTGGATATATGGCAAAAATACCTGAATTGCTTAAATTTACCAACACCAGGTTTATATGGTTCTGTTCTAATGCCATTCAGGCATTAAACTGACAGTGCATTGTACTGTGAGAGGTCAAAATGACCCTTTCACTATCCATAGCAGTTCTGTTCTCAGTAATGGGAAAACAGAAGTATCTGAAAAAACTTTACACAACCAAACAACAATCAAGAGCGGTTCAAATCTACTGCAGTCAGTTGTCAGCCTAGATCAATACATCAGTTGCCAGCAGAGCTTGAAGTGGAATATCTGAGAATGCAAATAGCATCTTTTATAGCAAATTATTGCCACAGACCATCAATAATTTTGACTTACAAATCAAACTTCACAGTGTCTCAGCTTTTTACAGAAGCCTGCTACTTACAATTTCTCAATTAACTGCTTCTCATCCAGTGCACCTGGGAGGTCTCGTTTATTTCCAAGAACTAACACCTGAAAGAAACAATTCATATGCATATTAAATCCAGGAGCAACACTAGTTTATTTTTGTCTGTAACTTTTTGTTGGCATTATTCTGGATCTCACAGCTATTTAGAATCTAACAAAATGACCAAGGCCTGTGGGAACATAATGGAAATCTCGCTCCTAGTCAGGACCAGATGCTGGATGTACACTCTCTGAAAACTGGATCAAATTATTTCTGGGTGTATTAGCATCAGAAGTCTCTGGAAGTGAATCTCTCCATTCTAGATGGCATTATAGGATGGTGTCAGATTAAATGCAAAGAAATGTGGCAGAAAGCATGCATTATGTGCATACAAGCCCCTGAAATATAACCAGACTGATGGTAATCAGAAGTAGGGCACCAGCAGCAGAGGCTTGTCCTAAAGACCCAGACAAAATTCTCTCTCCATTTTTTTGCTCCTGACACACTGAACAGCTCAGCCTCCAAGCCTAACCAAGTTATCACCTGAACACCAGCCACCTCTGTCTCAATCTGAGCATCCATGGTAGAAATCTGAAAGGCAGCCATTAGGAATTTTGTCCAAGAAATGCAGAAAATTTACTGACCGAATAGATGCTGGAACTTCAGTTCCTATTCAAGGCTTCAAGTATAAATGACCATCAGATAAATGGGTTGAGCACATTCTAAGATAAAGTAAGTAATGGAAGGTTCTTCTAGTTATGATTGCATTACTGTTTTCCAGATGTGCTACAATTCTAAGTCAAGACTGTCCCATTATATCCCATGAATCTGGAACATATTAAACTCATTACTCACAGTCCAGATTAATAAAGTTGCTCTAAAATCTATAATGTCAAATCCTGGACACAATAAATTGAAGGAAGTTCAATACTAATTACTATGTGTGAAATAAAAGTAAGTAAAAAATACATCACTGCACCTTGGAAATTACTGTATGGGTCAGGCTGGGCATTTGGAATGTGATATTATAACATATAAAAGGCAAAGAAATTAATTAAATACTACTGAAGATATAAGAGTCCGATCATTTCAGTAAGGAAAAGTGAGAAGCAAAAAAAAAAACATGAAGAAAGTGCAAAGGACAGGTAATGTCACTCCCCATGAACAGCATAACTGTAGATTTCTTTTCCTTTTGTAGGATTTGTTCAATAGATAATTAACATATAAAATCACAACAACAGTAGCAAACCTTGTAATATGGAGAATCACTTGAAAAACTCTCCTTTGAGCATAGTGGGAGGAGAGGAGGGAGAGAGGGAGAGAGAGAGAGAGAGAGAGAGGCTGACTGTATACTAGAGGTACCATTTTTATACAGTTCAAGTCCCAGGTATCCATGGGGTTTAGATGCCAATCCCGTAACTGGGAATGTGTTTAGATGCCATTCCCATGATGGTATGTGTACAGACACTTCCCTTCCCTTCCCTGCCAAGGTGGCAATGTCTAGATGGGTAGCAGGTCCAGATGCTAAGTAAACGAAACCTTCAGCTCCACTGGGCCTGCAATGAGCTCCTGCCTACTGTGGCATTTGTGCTTATCTCAAGTTCCTGCTGTAGTGGCATATCTTATGTGAAGTTCCTGTTCCTTCTGTGGTTTTGACAGTGTTTTGACACATTTCAACTGTGTTCTTTAAGAACTTACACTATCTACTCACCCTCAGGTAACTTCAATTACTTGTAGTGGCCAAGCGTTCAAATAACTGCTTACAAAAAAGGGGCCAAGGAAGAGCCATCAAGTTGTGAGCAACTTCTTCCTCATTTGTATGTACTACTGTTTTCTTTCTTTTAATCAAGGTATGAACTCTTGCTTGGTGCTGTCAACATAAAGACCAATGATAACCTGATGGATTCCTAAATTGGCAGATTACATTTAAATAAACAACACTGGTCTCCACCTTTGTATTCCTCATTAGAATTTCAGCTGAATACACTATTCTTTGTCACTTCCAACTGGAGAACAGATGCGTATTTGCATTTTTTCCACACAATTCAGTTTGAAATACTAAGTCAAGAAAAAGTCAGGACACATAAAAAGCCAAGCTCCTACACAAACTATGGAAGCAGAGGACACTACTTGATATTACTGTCTGACAACCTGTAGAAAGATTGATCTCATATGCTGTAAGATACTGCCAGAAACATACCTGGGTCACTGGCTGAAACCCAGCCAACAAGGGACTGACTGGAAGCAATTATTGTCTGATAATGCCACACATGAAAACACAATTTTTTGAAATCTATTCTGACCTTTAGACAAGAAATGTACAAACACAGTGCAGCATTCATCAGTTGTTGAGTACTGTGAAGAAAAAAAAATCACAATAACTTTTCTAAGAATGCTCAGTGTATCAAGGCTGCATCAACCTAGTATTTTTAAGAGACCAGAGAAACCCATGAAGATTTAGGTCACACTGCCAACATTCAGGTAAGAATAATAATGAAAATACTTACTGGAATTCCATGCAGCTGTGGCTTATCTATCAAACTGTGTAGCTCATTTTTTGAAGCTTCTACTTTTTCTAAGTCTGCTGCATCCACCATGTAACTGCAACGAAGAATATTTATGATATTGACCATTACCTGCAGAAATTTGCATTAAAACATCTGAAATATGACAAACGTGTTGATATTGACCAGAGCATTAGAAAAATGCAAAGTTGAATAAGCCCTGCATTTATTGATATAGGAACATAAAGTTAAATACAGCCTGTGGGGAAAAAATTGCCTGGAATATGCAATTACTTTCATGTCTGGGTTGCTGCACATGCAAAACACACTATTTTTATTGTACTTCTTATGTGATAGAGGTGGACAGAAAAAAAAATATTTTATTTATATATAATATAATGTAATACCTGATTTTATAATAATATAGATTGCAAAGTACATTTTCTATGGACATACAAAAGAAAACTTACACAACTGCATTGACTCCTCTGCAATAACGCTCCCACATGCTTCGAAACCTTGGCTGTCCTCCAATGTCCCACACCTGAAAAGGTAAGAACACTTCAGGCCCAAAATAGTTTTTAACTACATAGTCCTAACCCAACAGAATAAATTAACTCGTACATGCAGCATGCAGGTTGCATTGCCAATTCCAGAATTTTATCCAAAGGTCTTCTTGGCCCCTTCCAGCAAACGGAGGGGGACAGGCACATTCAAAGGCCTGTGACACCAGAAGCTCCAAATGTTCTTTTTGGAGAATGTTACCCTTTCCCACTCACTGAAAGAAAAGTCTTACTCAGATACTGAAGTCAATTATTGCAAATGCACAGTCTCAAAACAAAAGAAGAGTATCTTCATTGTATGAAACAGTTATGCAGGTTAATTTTTAATGTGGCTAGGGAGACCTGAATTAAGAATGTATCAGATCTTCAGCAGGATAAAGACAGTAAATAAACAAAGAATTGGTCAGAGAGCAAACTGAATCCACATAAGGGATGATACTCCCCGCTCCAAGGAGCTCCAATACCTCCACAGCTTTCCCACTGGTTCAACAAATGTGCTTTAAAAGACACGTGGATTAATTAATCAGAGCCAGAAAGGAAACAGTAGTATTGGTGGGCCTGAAGTGATTAAGCATTGTTTCTTGAAGAAAGCTCAAATTCTTATGATAAAATCTCCAACCCCGTAAATATTTACACATGCTATTAGTGCCCAGCAATCCCATGGAAGTCCTATTTTTTAATACACTATTTTTCTGTACAGGAGTTAGATACTCTGCTTCACTTGCAACAAAAAATAGTATTTTGCAAAAATTTATATTCTTGGTGGATGACTGTATCTTGTTCCTAAACTGTTTCTCAGATCAAAATACCAGGTAACAGATACACATCATACAGGCCAGAGCTGTGAGATACATTATCTGTTACAGCTACATCCAAAGACAGTTGTGTAGCAAGTGACACACAGACTAAGACCATGATGAATACTGAAAAATAAAAGTAATGGATTTATTCCTCTGCCAAGGAAAAAGAGAAGTAATAATTTCTTATTTTAAGCAGATTTAGCTATCAATACAACATATACTGTATACCAGATCTAGGAGGCAAGTATATTACAGAAGAACTAAATTTGGAAGTAAGATATACAGAAACAAAAATTTTTAAGAGTTGTCCTCACATTTACACTATAAATCCAAATTGCCTTCTCTGGCAACAAAGCTTGGCACAAAAGAGCAGGACTTCACAGACCCATGGGATAAGGCTTTTTCAAATAATGTCCACTATTTTTTAATTTCACAGCCTGTAAATCATATTTATACACCAATTTCTGTATCATTTTCAATATCTTATATTCATATTTTCGAAAGAAATATTTCCCAATTCACCATTAAAATCATTCCCTGATTGATATCTAACCACTCCTTCCAACATAAAACTATTGTATCACCTAAATGTAGAGTGCCTTTTGATCCCCTGAATAAGATCAAAAATTTTACACATGAAAGAGCTTCTGACCATGAAATGGGTATCAATTATTATCTGTACTGACATTTGAAGCACCGTACCAAAGGTCTTAATAAAATAAACCTTTATACTTTAAAAGCTTGGCCATAACGAATACACAGTTCAGCATTATGGTTAGATGACAAAACTTACACCAACACTAATTACTCCAATAACTCATCAAGACCTTGAAACTATCCAAAGCCATCTGGTGCACATCTGTGTGTCTCAAAAAAGAAACTGAATTATTTCCTTAGTAAAAATAAGCAGAGGGGAGAAAAAAAGGGGAAGATGATAGAGCAGGCTAGTAGTCAGATTAGATTTTTGGAATGCTGATAGCCATGAATATCTACAAGATTAGTAGCCTGGACTAATCACAAAATAAACAATACAAGATAAAAAACACTGGTTTTGTCCTTGCTTGATGATATACTATATCTTACGATATTAAATTGAACTGCAGAACAAGATTACTCTCATTAGGGGAAAAAGTCACCTTGAAACAACGGGAAGATAAGTCATTTCCAGTCAGTTTCCCTAATCAGGCTTACAGCTATTCATTAAAGTACAACATGAAGGACACAATACAGACTAAGTGTTTTTAACAGTGCTTTGGAACCAAGATTATTATTTAGATTACATAATAATTATTATCTGAAATATGGAGAAAAAATGAATGTATGAAATGAAAAAAAACCTTACCTCTTTACTTTTGAAAACAAAATGGTTTTAATAGTAACTTTCCAATACTCCTTATTATATTGAATAGCCAATGAAAGAGTTAACTACCTAATTCAAAACACAAATTGTTGCACCAAACCATTTTCACAGTACATGACTGAACAGACAGAACTGTGAGAATGTAAGAGGTTCTCAGGAAGGAAAGGGGAGAGCTCTTAGTGTTAAAGAAGTTTTCTTGCATGAGTGTTGCATGTTTTGTATATCAACTACTTTTGCATCCCAGTATTAACACACAGGTAGAAAGCATGTTCTGGGTATGAATGGGGATAGGCAGGAGACTAAACAGCTGAACATACAGGTAGCTATAAAAAAAAGTTTACTTTGTCTGGTTGTTTTTAAAAAGAGGCTGGTATTCAAATTTCTCCCATGACTTTTACTGGCCCGTCAGGAATAAAAATTTCATAATATTTAATAGGTAATTTTATCAGTAGAACACCAGCTGATTTAAAGAATCAACAAAAGCTTACAGAATGACCAAACTGAGAAAAAGTTTCTTTGATATCCGGTACCACTGCCTCACAGGAGATTAAAATCTCAAGGATTTTCTCTTCAGGCCCAATCTCAAAGGCACACATCTTGTTAGTGCCACATTTTATACATCACTGTTTTATTTGTCTCTATCTATTGCTACAGTGTAGCAATTCTTATTGTGCTTGCAGGTCTACACTGTAATTAATTAGTGGAATGTTTTAATCTGTAAACTAGATCATCATTACGGAGCCACTGTTTACCATATACTTACCTGAGTACAATATATCAAATTCTTCTAAAAGATGAAACTTTGGATTTATCTCTTACCAGTTTCTTCAGGAGAATCTAAGGTTCCATCTTAAGACTGTAGCTATGAGCTGTGTTTAAGGAGCAGATCCTTTTCTGTTGCACAGAGCTGTATCGTGACAGTTGAGCAAAAATGCACATGAATAGGTTCAAAGATTTTTGAAAGCGTTCAGTTACAGGAAGGTTCATTAACTCTCTAGCTGTGTTTCTTCAAATTAGCTCATACTGTGGAAAGGCTTGATGGTTCATGAGAAAGCTGCAGGAAAAGGGTTTTCTAGATGTCATGTTACATGGCTTTTTTTCAGATATGCTGGTTAGAAGATTTCTTGTGGACAGAGATTACAATGACAAATTTGTTTCTAGATGTCAATGTGTGGATTCACTACCTACAATTTCACAGCAGTCAGCGAAGTCTAGATGGCCTTTCAGCTGATCAAATCTAACATCATGTTTAGGATGCCAGAATTACACTCTAGGCTGGACAGTACTGACTACAGCTCCTCTGACTATTATTGAAAGAGCTTAAGCCTCACTGTAGACACATAGTTGTTCACATGCAGGCATCTTAACCTGCAAGATGAATCCAACACTACAAACACCTGAACTCAAAAATGTATCTTTCTTCTTGGATGTATCCAGAAAGTATCAGCCATAAAACCTAACTTAAACAGGTGAGGAATTTGTTAAGCAGAGAGGAGTATTTGGGCAAAATAAGGCAGCACCAGTAAAATCTACCACGACAATGTACACAGGCAAGCCTGAGATGTTACCAATGAGCTCAAACATACACAACAAACAGTTGTTGTATTCATAGTAAACTCAGTGTGTAATGATAGGGAGCAACTGGAAAGCATGGGACAACTTCAATCACCTAAAATTTAGGCATTTAATCCAGGTGACAAAAATTTCTCTTCGGCTACTGAAGTGCTCAGAGGGCACCAACAGCAGGAAATTACTCTGTTTGTTTTACCCACCTTGCCTGGTGAACAATTCTTGCAAAGAACTCACTGCTCCCCAGCAGGTTCAGACAACTGGCTCAGGCTGGGTTACTTACCACCTGGCTAAGCTCACGAGGGAGAAATCCTAAATGATCACCTATTCTAGACCGGAATCTTCAACCAAAAATATCTATCTTTTTTGCCTAATAAACAGACGACTAAAAAAATCTAATAATCTTAAACCTTCTCATAAATTTCCCTGTATATACAAATCTATACAGCCTAACTGGTAGTACCTACCAGCCATGTAACTTAATATGGAAGTCAGAATATCTTACTACTTTAGAATACTTACTACTTATTATCCTACATATTGGAAATGCCTTCACAGTTGCTCATAGAGTAAAAAAAACAAATGTGCAATGTGGTTACATTTTCTGCAGGCAAAATTTCTCAGAACACTATGTTCTTTGAAATCAGTCTTGGCCCTTTAAAGAACTCTGTTCTCCCTCCTCACTGGTGATAAAGCCCAACTTTTAAACACACCATTAGGCATTTTAACCAGATCATATAAAAGAGAAAAACTGTATGTGCATTTCAATGTTCAAAATTTAATCATAATATTTTCATGGAAGAACTGGAAATAGACTTGCAACACAAAATGTTCACAAAGTATCTTCAACTCCTGATAACAAGCACAGAGGCATTTTAATGGGAGACAGTACTTCTATGTGATCAGGGACTATTTTGCCATTTTATCAGAGACACAAAATGCAATGCTAGAAGGATCAACAGGTGGATTTTAAACAGGACACAAAAGCAAAGTCCTTGTACTTAACTTCCTAAGAGTCCTATCAGTCCATTTCTCTAGCCTGTTAAGGTCTTTCTGGAGGGCAGCAGAACCCTCTGCTGCACCAGCCACTCCTTCTAGTTTTGTACTACCTGCAAACTTGTTGAAAGTGCACCCTGTCCCACCATCCAGGTCGCTAACAAACCCACTAAAGAATCACTAGGAGTTAGCACTAATCACTGGGCTTCCTGCTCTGGAACACAGCCCTTTTCAATCCACCAGTCCAACAGCTCTTCCTTACAGGCAACTATCACAAAACACTGGGACATCCAACAAAAATCCCTTTGCTATAGAAATAACTGCTTTGACTTGAAATCAGGCCAGACATAGCAGAGCTTTTTCAGAGTGATCCAAGTCATACAGTATAGCCAGTATGTGCTGAAACACTGCTGGAGCTACACTTAGAGAACACACATAGGCTTGTATTACTGCATGACATTTGAAATGACAATACAACAGGGAAGATAACCTGAATAGAAGGAGGAAACATTACAAAGCAGAAGAATTCTGCTTCTATGAGGATGCGTGGAGACCTGAAAACACTACTGTCCAGAGCAGGAGTGCTGTAACAAAGGAAGCAGGCAGAGGACTGCACAGAGCTGGTATCCTTCTCCTGCCTCTCTGCCACATCAGAGCAAAGAGCAAGCAGCGAGAAGCCCAGCTTTGCTCTCCCACAGTTAGGCTGTGCAGGGTGTGGTGGAGGGACACCGGCATCTAGTGGTGACAGCCGGGGTGACCACAGCCCACCCCGCCAGCTCCAGTCCCCAGAACCTGCTCTCTACTCCCTCTGGAACACAATGGCCAGGAAGTGCACGCTCTACCTGGCCATGCTATTTTAAGAAAAACAAACGCAAGAGCAAGGGAAATGAATCTGTGGCATTACCTCTGTGTATACATGTATGCGGTGCTCTATTTCCTTTTAACAGAGACTGTTCAAAGACCATCACTGCAAGAACCAAAAATTTCTTAGCTAGAGGTTCCCAATCCCTTTAAATAGCAGTTCACGACTCAAGTCTTCTGAGGGTCTTGGAACTTGGCTTCTTAAAGTAAGTTTTATTAATTGCTGTCTAGCTTGTTGAACAGTAAATCTCACCAAAGCAAAAGGATTGCTAATAGTAAGCAGATTCAAAAAACAGAAAAAAACATCAAAATCGAATCACTCAGAAAATGGCAAAACTTGTTTGGAATTAAAATCTCAAAGTAATTCAGTCAGATATTTTTTTCACGGAAAAAAAAAGATAGTCATCAGTTTTGTAATGAACTTCAATGGAATAGTTCTAGCAGATTCCTAAGTTGTAGCATATAAAATATTTTGATGCTAGAAATCATACCAACAACCTCAACCACAATCTCAAAATACAAAACTGCCTGCTTAGATTTCAAACACCATGTGGTAAAATCCTTCCTTTATTGCCTTCTCTTCTTGGAAATAACAGGTGGCAGGTTATTAAACATATTGGTAAGTCAAAATTTGACAGTTCATGGTTAAAGCTGACAGCCGTATATTTCTAAACAGGTTTAGCTTCAATTCAAGAACATCTGAAACTGGTATCTTCCTACAAAATGTTTCAGCTTGCATAAATCAGTTTTTTTTCTTTTAGTGTGGCTCAGATAAATACTCACCATACACGCACAGATGCCAGTGACCATACTTCTACATAGTAAGATTAGAGACTAAAAATGAGAATAAATCAACCAGCTTTTGGAAATGACTGCCAAAATCAGAAGACAGGAAAGAAGAGCATGGGTTTCAGTTCTCTCTGCCTTCTGGAATTGTATGGAATCTGCAGATGAAGCTGAAGAAACCAGGCAGTGACACTGTACTAGCATAGTACTTCCTTCTTAGTGGCCTACCCCAAAATACAGCAACAGATAAAGGATTAGTATTACCTAATTGCTGGGTTTGCAACTTACCTTTCCAAAAGTAATCAATCCTATACTTACAGAATGCAAATTTTTCACTTGATGACTTTTTGACCCAGTGATTTCTCAACCTCAATTTTATAAGTTTAATTGATTGTTTTTCAGTGTCCCCTGAAACCTTTGAGAAAGGTCAGACACAATGTCAGGTCTTTCCTTAGCATAATCATTCCTGTCATATTTAAAGAACTTCACAGGTTTAGTAAAATAACGCTTTATTCATTAATTTTAATAGCTGATAGTTGAATATCATATTTCTCATAATATTTCTATAAGAAGGGTTACCTGTTTTGTTGGAAAAAAAAGGTTAAAGAAAAATTTACACTGAATCCTTGTTGCTGGGCTGCAAAGAGCTCATAAAAGGATTTTAGCAATAGGCACCTCCTCGTCATTTGAGTCACCAACTTATCAACAGATTATGCCATTTTTCTCGAAGTAAAATAATTCTGGAAACCTTATCTAGCAATAACCTGTAAGATTTTAACCTATATATAGGAACAGTGACATATAAGTAGTTTATCCTGACAGACTTTTAAGGAAATAAGCATCTATGTGTAAGAGTCATATTCCCCTACACTCCTTACTTTCCCTGAATGCTGCTGTAGCAGAAAGACTGTGAGAATGAGTCAATGTATCTTCCTGTGCAGACTGGCTTCCAAACCAAGTATCATTTTTGAAACTAATAAACATATTAATTATGTTAGCATTATCTCCTTATTCTTAAAAATTATATTATAGCAACTATATATAAAATTACTTTTGAGATCGGAGTAAAACAAGGCACAGTTCCACAGAAACTCACCCATACCCTCCCTGCACAACTTAATCTTGCAACATCATTTGCTCAGACAACCCTGGTATAAACTGTCAGTCAGTTCCTTCTTGAACTATCCTGGCTCAAAAACTACTGGATTTTGATGACTGCTTACTAGCAAAAGATTTTTGCCTAGTTTAATGAGCCATCAACGACTTTTCTGTTTTCTCCTGCACCTGACAATTCTGCAGCAGCATCAGTACAGCCCTCCATCTATGCCTGTGTTTTCTCTCTGCCAATCATGGCCTCATTGCTTTTGTGCAAAAGGCAAAATACAAATGAAATTCCTTTTCCTGCAGATTATTTATGAACTATGGTTGAATGCAGTAACTTTTTTATTGACTGTGGTAACGCTGGAATTTGATCAGTGGCTCAGGAGTCATACCAAACCAGAGGAAGAATATCTATAGAACTGAGGGAGAAAAGAACTTACATGTTTTGGAAAAGTTAAGGTAAAGACAAAAAATCTGGATTCCCTTTACCTAATTTTAGCTAGAAGTTGTGAATTTCATCTAGACTAATCAACCAGGCTCCCTTCATTGTCTAACAACAGACAGTGTTAATGCTAGGAGTGATTTACCTCTATTTTGATGCCTATGTGTCTCTGTAGCTCTAAGAGATGGTTCCCCAATAACTGACTTAAGCTAAATGTTCTATTTCAGCATTGCTAACGCATGAGCTAAACCACACTCTCCACTGAGATACCTACCATTTCACTTACAGCTGAGGAGGGGAGAAGGGGAAAAGACAGATACACCCCCAGGAGACAACTCAGCTACCTCAGCATCTCCACATTTTATGACCTTTCTAAACCAAAAAACTGTAACAAAGCTTCTGCCTGGCATGGAATACAATGAAATCAAACAGATTAATGTAACAAAGAAATATATTACTATTGCTTTAAAAAAAAAAGTTAGTCTGGAGCTAGAAAAATAGATAAGGGACCCTATAATCTTAAAATAAATTTCCTGTCTTTCATAGTTCCAGTTGAAATTACTCCATTATTTATTAACTCTGTATTAATTTAAACATGCACACCTACCTTTATGGTAACGTTTCCTTTTGTTATTTTTCTCATATTGAAGCCTACTGTAGGAATCATATCTTCTGTGAACTGCCCCGACTAGAATACAAAACCAAAATTGTATTTATTATAAAACAGTTGATACATACAGGAAATGTTCTCACTTGCAATCTAAAAAATGGTATTTTACAATACTGTAAAATATCACATTAATTTTCAGCAAGAGCACTGGCCAGCACTTCAATTATTGCATTGTCACATCAAGGAAGACTGTTCATTTCAGCCCCTTTAAGTGATCTTTTATTCTCTTCAGCAACAAAGATCACCCCAGAAACCATGAGACTTCAGATAACTCTTCATCTGATCCTTTGGCAACACAGCCAAAACTATAGAATTGTAGGATGATTTGAGTTGAAAGAAAGAAGCCTTCAAAGGTCACCTAGTCCTACCCTCAATATGATAAAATATTATAAAACTGACTACAAACATGATTTTTTCCTCTATTTTCTCACTACAGTTACCACTAGCTTAACTCCAAATATAAACAATGAAGGACCACCCATATATATTGGACTCTCTGAATACTTGTTTTTTTCTGTGTAGGTGACAGCAAAGGAATCCTGCTGCAGAGCTAAGAGAATGCATTAAGGCAGAAAAGTAAAAGGGACTAACTCAATGTACCATAAACTCCAAACATAAACCCCCAGCACAAAAATGGTGCCTCCTCCCCCAGTTCAGAGAAATATTTTCACAACAAAGACATTTCTCACCACACCAATGGGAATCTTAAAGACTTCTGCCTACTACAGAAGATACTTTTTCAGGGTAAAGACAAAACTCAGATATGAGTGGGTAACTCATCATTCATCTTCCTTTTGAAAATGCACCATTAACAAGCTATTGTGTCTCCTGGACATGGTACAATAAGATAGGCAGGTTTGTTACTTATGTCCTAACAGAGGCACAGGTGCTCTCTGCAACACACAGCAATCCTGGCTTTCCAGTCATCCAGCAAGGAAAGCAGCACCTTCTGGGCCTGCCACTGCCTTTCTGCATCTATCTGCTCATATTTACCTCATCAACCCATGAACCTTGGGTTGGTTGTTTTTTTTGGAAGAATATATGGGTATATGGACAAGGCAGGATGCAGTCACGTTCCGTCTGTTCCCTCTCATCTGAGAAATGGAGGATCAGAGCTTCAGGGTACACTGGAACAGCAGTGTGTCTCTCAGTCTACCCCTCCAGGGCTGTTACTGAGAACTGTACAATTTCTGAAAGTTTTCTATGTCCTTTTTGTGGTGGAGCGAGAATACACTCTGCCTCCAGTTTGCATTTACAATGTAAGGTTAATAATTTTTAATCTGGGGCTTTAAAAACTGCAACTTTTGACAGTTACATGATTGTCTCACAAGATTTTGGAGTTTGGAACTAGATCCTTCAAGCAAGAAAAAACTTCCATCAGTTCTTTGTTCAACCTTATTTATGGGAATCCTCTTGCTAAATTCTGTACATCTTCACCATCTTTTGTGTCTTTGTTTCTCTTCTTCCCTGCTTCAGTAACTTGTCAACAGCAGTAGAGAAAAGAAAGTGAAGACAAAAGCCCTGCAGTTTCATACAGATACACATAGCCAGCACTGACTGAAGTTTTTAACTGGATATAGTAAGACAAAGCCAACCAGTAAACCCTTTTGTGTATTGGGTACTGGTGTGTCCAGGCAAATGGTGGAGCCACCACCCCTGGAAATGTTCAAGAATGGACTGGACGTGCTATGGTTTAGTTGACAGGGTGGTGTTTGGGCATTGGACTTGATGATCTTGGAGTTCCTTTCCAATCTTAATATTATACAAATTTGTTAAAATATGTAGTACCTATGTTTGCAGAGGACTGACATACAAACACAAATGAACACATAAACACTGAAAATGTAGCATTATTACTCAAGGACAGGAATGCCTAGAAAACCAGACAGTTGACTCAGGAGGTTGCAGAAAGTCAGAATTCTACTTTTGTCAGCAAATTATACATCACATGTAACGTGCTAAACTGGAAGGCAAAAATAAACTAAACAAAAAACCAAACCACCATAATTGCTCTAGTATTTGGGGTAGAATGTAAAGAATTAGCATCTTCTTCACTGGTCTTTAGTCTTTTCCTCTAAAAACTCTCCATTCTGGTTGAATGGAATCAGATACAAAGAAAGTATTATGTCTACAGTTTTTTTATTTTCTCACAAAGTGAAGAAAGGAATTGGTTGAATCGTTTGCCCACATCAAGCGAGAGCTTTGTTTACTGTGTTTTAAATGTTGTAACTATCTAACCACCACAAAGTAAAAAATCTGTACTAATGTGCTTGCTAAGGAAGGTTTACATGGCAAATTGCCTATTTTTGTGAATATTTAAGAATGTAAAAAAATTTTGTCATATTTCAATAAAAAACAGATTACCTCCCAACACAAATGAAAAATAACTGATTATAAGAAGTTTCTAATGTCCCCCTAAAGTTTCTGAATATTGAACTGATAACTAAAACTGTCATTACCCCCAAACATATCAACAACCATGGACCAGATTCTACTCCATTACATCAATGCACATCCACAGTATGCGGCAGTGATTTTATCCAAGGTTTACATTGGTAATTAAGGACTAAATATGGCTCCAACTCTTGAGAGCAGACTGTCTAAAAGGGTGTTTATCCAATCTTAGCATGATAGGATCTCTGAGTGAGCTTGTAAAATTAAAAAAGTTGTAATTTCCAACGTTTTTTCGTGATCCACTGCAGCCTGCATTTTTAGCAGCCACTACTTTGCAACAGCTATTTTCATTGTCACACTCTAGCTACGTATTCACAAACATACAGTGTTCCCTGTTTGCCCTTCCAATATCAACAGTATTCAAGAGCAAATTCTAATTCATTGCCTTATTCTTATTTTTTTTTTCAAAATTCTCCAACCGCTTTTCTTTGGTGATTATCACAGCATCTCATGTCCAGACTGGAAGACCCAAAATCTACAAAACCTGCAGTGTGTGACCCTGCCTAAGTCAAAAAACAGGAATGCCTTGTAGAATATTCTTAAGAAATAACATTTGCAGGGAAAATCAGACCTGCAGTAAGAGGAGTGCTCTGGTGTTGAAGACAACATCACAAACACCTACAATGCCATTCTATTGGTGGTATAGTACATGGAAGTGGACAAATAGTTAAAGACACAAAGTCTGGCACCACACTCTACTGAGGTCTCTGAACCGCTGTGTTCCTCTTTGCTCTGTTCATGGAAACAATCCACGAAGCAATGTAATTTGCCATGTCTTTTCCCCATTCCTAGGCAAGGCCCACCCTTGGGAAATGTCATAATGCAACTTCCAATGGGTATAAGAAGCACCGAGGCCTAATTTAGCAAGATTACTGGAGTGTCTGACAAACCAGCTAAAATACCAGATACAGGTATATACCATTGATTGCTGATGTCACCCAAAACATACTTTCATTGGGCATTTGCCATTCCTTTTTCTCCTGCTCTCTCTCCTCCTCTTCATTCACACTAATGCATAATCTCTTATTTTCCCTTAATCCATAATCATATGCAAAAGCGAGTAACAAATATCATATAATCTTCAGGTCTTCATTACCTCAATCTCTCTGACTTTGACCCACACATCTCCCAGTCTGGTTTTGATTCATGATCTACTAGCTTTTCACAAAAAGGACTGAAGATTATCTAGAAATTTTCATCTCGTAGCAACTGAAGCTGTGATACACCTCACAAGAGATACCTTGCAGAAAAAGCTTCACTAAGCTTCATGATTAGAAGTAAGCAAAATGTAACTTGTGTGTATATATATATATATATATATGTATATATACACACTCATACATATATATATTTCCATCCTCTGACGAAAAGCAAATATTTGGGATGCACCCAAATGCAGTCTGGAGGGCACAGCAAACTAAGACGAGGAATGTATTTCAGCATGGTGACAAAAAAAGAAAATGTCATAGCAGGTGTCAGCATATAGAGGCTGCAAGGCCATCACCAGAGCAGGAAAGGAATGCTGGAATCAGTCTGGAATGCTGGGGAAGAGCTATACAGGATTTGTGGGAGGCATTAGTATTGCTGCAAATGATGGGAGGAGAAAATTCAGTAACGGGCAATTTGTGGCCTTGAGGGATGCACAGTATATTATTCTGGGATACACTGAACGTGGAAAGCCAACCTGAACCACGGCAAGAGCCCACGTCCATGAATCTGCTCCAAGACCGGCACACTTTGCAGCCAGACCCAGGAGATATCTTCTCCCTCCCTCTGAAAACACCTTCACTCACACCTTAGCCTCCCGCTGTGAAATTCTCGAGGCTGCAAACCATGCAAAAGCTGTCTCATACTCTCTCCCGCCCCCCCTCCCTCCGCATCCCACCGCATGGCCGCGGGACCTCAGGGCAGGCGGTGNGGAGCGGTGGCAGCGCCCTGCGAGGGGCTGGCGCTGGCCGGGAGCGGGCGGCCAAGAATGCCTAGGAAGGGGATGCAGCTGCGAAGGAGGCTGCAGGGATCCTGTGCGGGAACAGCTGGTCCCTGGGTTGTGGAAGGATGGGACGGGCCGGCACTGACCTGCTGCCGCGGGCGGGCTGTACAGCATCCCACACCAGCAAAGGGGGCCGAGGCCGCAGCACTGCCTTAGGATCCTGAGTTGGTGGGCTTGGGCTGCTTGACAGCATCGGTTCTGTATGTTCATCACGTCTAGTGGTGGCACTTACCACACCCCTAAGCTAGGACCTCCACTGGTCCCAGGAAACTCTGCTTGAATTCTTCATTGAGTAGTGACAGGCTTCCAGATCCAGAGCTTACCATGTTTTTATTTTGTTTCTCCCTTGATAACTTTTGGAAAATCACCCGCAGTATGACTCCTTGCCGCAAGAGATGCTTGTGATGGTGGTTTTGTGTTGTGATCCATGATGAGACATGCCACTTCACCAAGAATCTTCTGCCTGCACTGAATAAGTGACATTTAGCATACAGTCTTGACACAGAGCATTAGAGAAAAGCTTGTTTTACCCATAAACACAAGGCTAGCACTTCTCCTGGATCCACCTGCCAGTCTCAGAACT